GGGGGGGGGGGGGGGATGAGATCTATACAATTTAACATGCTCAATAATGAGACAAGACTGCAACTTGGGAATGGTTTACAAGCATAATTAGCTGTAACTCGCCTAAATATAAACCCAGCAGGGTTATTACCACTAAATTTGTACTGTACATGTACTAAAATGTCTACTACAACTGTGTGTAGTTATCAAGGACCATATGATGATAAACTAGCACTGTAAGCCAAAAGCAAACTAATACCCCACCATCTACACATAGAGGTTTTCAAACGAATATAGCATTAGTATGGTCGACACATTACCCAACTGCTTACAATCAGGATGAACCCTACCAAGTTATAAGGGGATCAAATTCAATTCTTGGAACTTGTTCGGACAAGATATCATCTACAACTGATTCCAAACCTGTTGCAGTGGTGTACAAATATGAAATAATTTTCAAACAAGTGGCCCCAGTAACCTTTAGCTTCAAAACAAGTGGCCCCAGTAACCTTTAGCTTCCAGACAAGTGGCCCCAGTGTCCTTTAGCTTCCAGACAAGTGGCCCCAGTAACCTTTAGCTTCAAAACAAGTGGCCCCAGTAGCCTTTAGCTTCCAGACAAGTGGCCCCAGTGTCCTTTAGCTTCCAGACAAGTGGCCCCAGTAACCTTTAGCTTCCAAACAAGTGGCCCCAGTAACCTTTAGCTTCCAGACAAGTGGCCCCAGTATCCTTTAGCTTCCAGACAAGTGGCCCCAGTAACCGTAAGCTTCCAGACAAGTGGCCCCAGTAACCTTTAGCTTCCAAACAAGTGGCCCCAGTAACCTTTAGCTTCCAGACAAGTGGCCCCAGTATCCTTTAGCTTCCAGACAAGTGGCCCCAGTAACCTTAAGCTTCCAGACAAGTGGCCCCAGTAACCTTTAGCTTTCAGACAAGTGGCCCCAGTAACCTTTAGCTTCCAGACAAGTGGCCCCAGTATCCTTTAGCTTCCAGACAAGTGGCCCCAGTAACCTTAAGCTTCCAGACAAGTGGCCCCAGTAACATTTAGCTTCCAGACAAGTGGCCCCAGTAACCTTAAGCTTCCAGACAAGTGGCCCCAGTAACCTTTAGCTTCCAATAAATGTTGTGCAAAAAAGAAGAAATAATAGGGTACATGAACTTGAATCTGATCCTTATTGTGTCGTCAACAATAAGATGGACAACAAAGGTTTTTTCATTATATAACCATTAGAGACGCATACTTTCTATATCTATGAATATGCACCAATGTACAATATCAGATCAGTTACTGTATTTATCCGGCAATAAGCCTTTGCCTCGTAATAAACCAACCCATTTCAAATACAGTTCAGTAGACATACTACCAGATCCTTTTTCATTGTCCTGTAATAGGCCCACCTTTTATTTTCAGTCAGAGTTTGTGTTGGTCCCTTGTACTTTTGGCAGAATAAAGACAGTATACAAATGTCTACTCCCCTGCTACTAATGTTAACTAATCTATTTCTCACTCGATCATCAAACAACTCTCCTCCCCACATATTACACTCCGTAGTCAAACTACTCTACATCAACTTCAGATCTACTATTCTTAAATAAAATCATCAATCCCAGAAAATAGACATAATGTCTACAGCAAGTGTAGAAGATGGTCAGACTACACAGTAAGTGTGGACGATGGTCAGAGTACTCTTGTAATATCGGTCAGTTATACAAACAATCGGGAATGTTTACAGTAGTGTTTTAATGTAACTCCAAAATATAAACTAGTAAACCCATTTCTTACCTACATACACACTGGCACAGGCAACAGACACACCAGTTATGAGGTAAGTTTATATGAAACAATATGATGCCAATAACAGCTATCTTTATAAATATTAATATATCTTAAAACGAATTTGTCGGGTCCCTATGATACATAACGTACAAGTCTTATATACAGCACTTTAGGCTAATGTAATAACACCTACACTGTATTTCAATGGCCCTATTACACTGGATTGGTTCCAAGAGCAATTCTGCTTTTGCCCATGCATAGTACCAAACTGATAGCCAATCCAATATAATGTCGGACTGTATTCATGTCAGGTTTGATTTACATATACAATATCATGCTCTTCCTAAGAATGATTTTTATGTTCAATATCAAAATTCTTTCTTCACACTAAAAATATATTCTGGAGGTCTATGAATCAATCACAGCTATAATCAAATTTGCTACTTCTCCTCTCGGTGACAATAACAAATCATTCTACACACCGAAATGCACATAAGTGAATTTGTTTTCCTAATAAATATTGTTAAGTTTGAGGGGTTCCGATGTCCTCTAAGCCACCAGCACTGTAGGAATTTTTTACATTTGTCATTGTGACTATTTTAAACTGGCCCACAATTGTTTTGGCCCTACTTTCACCAACATTTCTGTGTTTAGACTTCGGCCAGGCTTGATTCATTACATATCACAGACTACAATCATTAAACCGACGTCTGGTCCTTCACGGAGATGTTGGTGGTGTGGGGACACTACAGGCCATGATAAACCTTGGTGTCCTAAATGTCTTTGAGGGACTACAATCCAGGACGTCAGTATTTCCTCACGTCCCTGTCCCGCAGCTGGAGGCGTATAGAGGTGGGCGGGTCACCAAACCCATTACAATTGTTGATGCTGAATTCACCATTTCTGTTGTAAGATCGTCTCCGGTCCTCGTATCTGTAAAAATACATGCATTACATAATGTAACAACAGTAGTTCAACACCTCTACAATTTTCCACATGTCAGTTGACATACAGGGTCTTCTCTGTTATCTAGTAAGGAAAGGTAAAAGAAAACCAATTACTTATCCAACAATATGATACAATTACTTTCATCATTACTTTCATCACAGTTGCAAATGTTTAAGTAATTGATCAAGACACGAATGTGCTTCACTTAAGATTTATTACAAGATACTGCATCTCCAACATGATAAGGCTGTGATAGGCTGATCTAGAACTTATTTGTGAGGGAGAATGAGCCTTTCTGTGAACGGGAACTTTGTCACACTGAAACCTTGAGACTGGTAGTTACTGGAAATTATTCAAGGCATTGGTTTACCAGATTATGTGGAAAAAATTGATATTATGGGTAGATAACTGTATTTGGAACTTGTGAGTCTGAGAGAAGGTCAGGGAAGGGTTGTGTTCTAAAGAAAGGGGTTCAGGATAGTCCTGACGAGGATGTATGTGCAGTTATCATTGTGTTCTGACTTATGCGGGGTCCACAGTCCAAAAGAAAGTTTAGGGTTGTGTTCTGTCATTAGTCTAAGAGCTAATGTAAATATAAACATTGAACTACTTTCAGATGCAGTCCACAGGCTTAATGAACGCCCACTGAGTTACAAAACAAGAGCTGTAGGAGAACAGCATAGCTCGTCTATCAAAACAATTTTTGTAAAAACTTCTTATAGTAATTGGGCCATTACAGCATGTCCCATCTAAGATGATAGATCAGGAAACTTAGAACTACATTGTCGATGGCACAATCCCGCTATCCCCCAATGTAACCCCTAACACCACCACCACCACCCTAATTTTTAGCTCACCGGGTCCGAATGACCAAGGTGAGCTTATGCCATACCGTGGCGTCCGGCGTCCGTCCATCAACAATTTCTTTCAACGACTTCTTCTTCTTAACCACTGATTGGAATTTGACTAAATTTGACTGGAAGCATTCCTAGGTTGTAGGGATTCAAAATTGTACAAATGGTGGGGCTGACCCCCAAGAGAGCTGAGGGGCGGGGCCAAAAGAGGGCAATTTGGCTATATTGCTTTAAGCGACTTCTTCTCTGGAACTAAGAAATGGATATCAACCATATTTGACTGCAAGCATTCCTAGGTGGTGGGGATTCAAAATTGTACAAAAATATTGGGGCTGACCCCCCAGGGGGCTGAGGGGCGGGGCCAAAAGGGGGCAATTTGGCTATATTGCTTTAAACGACTTCTTCTCTGGAACTAAGAAATGGATATCAATCATATTTGACTGGAAGCATCCCTAGGTGATGGGGATTCCTTTAAATTGTACAAATGGTGGGGCTGACCCCCCAGGGGGCTGAGGGGCTGGGCCAAAAGGGGGCAATTTGGCTATATTGCTTTAAGCAACTTCTTCTCTGGAACTAAGAAATGGATATCAATCATATTTGACTGGAAGCATCCCTAGGTGATTGGGATTCCTTTAAATTGTCCAAATGGTGGGGCTGACCCCCCAGGGGGCTGAGGGGCGGGGCCCAAAGGGGGCAATTTAGCTATATTGCTTTAAGCGACTTCTTCTCTGGAACTAAGAAATGGACATCAATCATATTTGACTGGAAGCATCCCTAGGTGGTGGAGATTCAAAATTGTACAAAGTTTGGGGCTGACCCCCTGGGCTAAGGGGTGGGGCCAAAATAAGTTTATCACTTGGAAATGGTTGAGATCCCCACCTTATAACCATATATACAATTGCTAAGTATAAAGATAGGAATGCACATATGTGTCCAGGATGGCCTTGGGGTCTGCCCCACCCTTGGTGACTTAACCCCTGGGTCATAGCTTCGAAATGGTTAAGATCCCCACCCCAAAACTATATATACAATTGTTGGGCATAAAGAGACAAATGCAGTCATGATATTAGAATTGATCCCAGGGTCTGCCCCACCTTTGCAGACTTAACCCCTGGGTCATAACTTAGAAACGGTTGAGATCCCCACCCCAAAACTATAAATACAAATGCTGGACAAAGAGAGACAAATGCAGTCATGATATTAGAATTGATCCTGGATTGGCCTTGGGGTCTGGCATATTCCCTTGGATCTCATTTGGAGAAAATTTTGCCATGATTGCTTAGATATCCAGGTGAGCGATACAGGCCCTCTGGGCCTCTTGTTTTTATACTTTTTACATATTTGAACCCACCCCCTCTGGCCCGGCCCCTGGGGGTCATACAAAAAATCCAAAAGTATTGTTCACTACCATGTCTTCAAACATTGTAGAAAAAGCTATTTTACCCCTTATCCCTCAAGTACATGTAATGCATTGGGCATTCATATTGCCTATGTTCTGCATCTGAAAGCAGTTTAATGCTTAACTGTCAGTTTCCTGTAATGCATTAGGCATTCATATTGTCTATGTTCTGCATCTGAAAGCAGTTTAATGCTTAACTTTGTCAGTTTCCTGTAATGCATTAGGCATTCATATTGCCTATGAACTGCATCTGAAAGCAGTTTAATGCTTAACTATGTCAGTTTCCTGTAATGCATAAAGCATTCATATTGTCTATGTTCTGCATCTGAAAGCAGTTTAATGCTTAACTATGTCAGTTTCCTGTAATGCATAGGCATTCATATTGCCTATGAACTGCATCTGAAAGCAGTTTAACACTTATGGCATTAGTCTATGAGAAGGTTCAGGGTTAAGTTCTGGCATTAGTCTATGGGAGGGTTCAGGGTTGTGTTCCGTTTTACACAGGTCTAAGAAAGAGGTTTGGGGTTGTGCTCTGTCCTAGGTGAGTCAAATAGAAGTTCTGGGGTTGTGTTCTGTCCTAGGTGAGTCTAATAGAAGGTTTGGGGGTTGTGTTCTGTCCTAGGTGAGTCTAATAGAAGGTTCGGGGGTTGTGTTCTGTCCTAGGTGAGTCTAATAAAAGGTTTGGGGTGTGTGTTCTGTCCTAGGTGAGTCTAATAGAAGGTTCTGGGGTTGTGTTCTGTCCTAGTTGAGTCTAATAGAAGGTTCGGGGGTTGTGTTCTGTCGTAGGGGAGTCTAATAAAAGGTTTGGGGTGTGTGTTCTGTCCTAGGCGAGTCAAATAGAAGGTTTGGGGTTGTGCTCTGTCCTAGGTGAGTCAAATAAAAGGTTTGGGGTGTGTGTTCTGTCCTAGGCGAGTCAAATAGAAGGTTTGGGGTTGGGCTCTGTCCTAGGTGAGTCAAATAGAAGGTTCTGGGGTTGTGTTCTGTCCTAGTTGAGTCTACTAGAAGGTTCGGGGGTTGTGTTCTGTCCTAGGTGAGTCAAATAGAAGGTTCTGGGGTTGTGTTCTGTCCTAGTTGAGTCTAATAGAAGGTTCGGGGGTTGTGTTCTGTCCTAGGTGAGTCTAATAAAAGGTTTGGGGTGTGTGTTCTGTCCTAGGTGAGTCAAATAGAAGGTTCTGGGGTTGTGTTCTGTCCTAGGTGAGTCTAATAGAAGGTTCTGGTGTTGTGTTCTGTCCTAGTTGAGTCAAATAGAAGGTTTGGGAGTTGTGTTCTGTCCTAGGTGAGTCAAATAGAAGGTTTTGGGTGTGTGTTCTGTCCTAGGTGAGTCAAATAGAAGGTTTTGGGTGTGTGTTCTGTCCTAGGTGAGTCAAATAGAAGGTTTGGGGTTGTGCTCTGTCCTAGGTGAGTCAAATAGAAGGTTTGGGGTTGTGCTCTGTCCTAGGTGAGTCAAATAGAAGGTTTTGGGTGTGTGTTCTGTCCTAGGTGAGTCAAATAGAAGGTTTGAGGTTGTGCTCTGTCCTAGGTGAGTCAAATAAAAGGTTTGGGGTGTGTGTTCTGTCCTAGGTGAGTCAAATAGAAGGTTCTGGGGTTGTGTTCTGTCCTAGTTGAGTCTAATAGAAGGTTCGGGGGTTGTGTTCTGTCCTAGGTGAGTCTAATAAAAGGTTTGGGGTGTGTGTTCTGTCCTAGGTGAGTCAAATAGAAGGTTCTGGGGTTGTGTTCTGTCCTAGGTGAGTCTAATAGAAGGTTCTGGTGCTGTGTTCTGTCCTAGTTGAGTCAAATAGAAGGTTTGGGAGTTGTGTTCTGTCCTAGGTGAGTCAAATAGAAGGTTTTGGGTGTGTGTTCTGTCCTAGGTGAGTCAAATAGAAGGTTTTGGGTGTGTGTTCTGTCCTAGGTGAGTCAAATAGAAGGTTTGGGGTTGTGCTCTGTCCGAGGTGAGTCAAATAGAAGGTTTGGGGTTGTGCTCTGTCCTAGGTGAGTCAAATAGAAGGTTTTGGGTGTGTGTTCTGTCCTAGGTGAGTCAAATAGAAGGTTTGAGGTTGTGCTCTGTCCTAGGTGAGTCAAATAGAAGGTTTTGGGTGTGTGTTCTGTCCTAGGTGAGTCAAATAGAAGGTTTGAGGTTGTGCACAGTGTCCTAGGTGAGTCAAATAGAAGGTTCAGGGTGTGTGTTCTGTCCTAGGTGAGTCAAATAGAAGGTTTGGGGGTTGTGTTCTGTCCTAGGTGATTCAAATAGAAGGTTTTGGGTGTGTGTTCTGTCCTAGGTGAGTCAAATAGAAGGTTTTGGGTGTGTGTTTTGTCCTAGGTGAGTCAAATAGAAGGTTTGGGGTTGTTTTCTGTCCTAGGTGAGTCAAATAGAAGGTTCGGGGTTGTGTTCTGTCCTAGGTGAGTCTAATAGAAGGTTCTGGTGTTGTGTTCTGCCCTAGGTGAGACAAATAGAAGGTTCAGGGTTGTGTTCTGTCCTAGGTGAGTCAAATAGAAGGTTTGGGGTTGTGTTCTGTCCTAGGTGAGTCAAATAGAAGGTTCGGGGTTTGTTTTCTGTCCTAGGTGAGTCAAATAGAAGGTTCAGGGTTGTCCTAAGAAACTTCTATGTTCCATCATGAGAGTCTGCACCTGAAGATTCTAAGGGAAGGCCTGTTATCTGTACTCACAGTCTATGAATTGGTCTGTATTTTACACTTGAAAAAGAGACATTACTCACGAGTCTGAAGAAGGGTCTGTTTGTGAGCGTTCGTGGTTGCGGTCCCGCATCCTATATGGGCCAGGTTTGGGTACAATACTACTGCTTGGCTTGGCTGTGATGATGTTGATGAGCTTGTAGTAGTCCAGGAATGTCCGGGCCAAGTTACGCCCCAATTTCATATCTGATAAAGGTCAAGGGTCCAATACTCCACAGACATAAACATACCTCAATACTACTGTAAAAATACAATTACATAAACTCAAGCTCAGTCTAAACCAAGATGTCCTTTTTCTTGGTAAATTGTGGAAATCAAATAAATCATGGCAATAATAAATTTCATGACGACATTATGAGTATGAAGTTCACTATGACAGCTCACTTTTTCATAATGCGTATTGTTTCTGCAGATCATATTTTCAGGATCATGTAAATGTCTTGTAATTGCAGAAATATTCTTTTGAATAGGAGATATGAAATTTTGAATTTTAATTTGAAAATTAATTTGAAGACAATAATCCTCAAGTCTGTTGTTTTTGAAGCAATTAAGTGTGTTTGCAGTTAATTGTGATCAGGCAAATTGTTCCATACTGCTGTTGTTCCTATATGGAGAAGGCATTTTTCCGTAAGCCTTGTAGTGCTTTTTTTTTCTTTTAACAAAAAATGTTCCTTTAAGTGTCTCACTAAAAATCACACCAACCTAAAGGATGTAAAGGTTAAGTGAATCAACTATTTGCAGATGACACAAAAATATTCCAGATCATAAAGTCCAAAGAAACAAGGAATTCATTACAGGAAGACCTTCTCAGACTAGCTCAGTGGAGCAAGACTTGGCTACTCACATTCAACGAGGACAAGTGTAAGTTCATTCACATTGGTAAGCACAAGGAAGAAAACATTACTGATGTACTAAATAACACAACCCTGGAGAAAGTGAAAGAAGAAAAAGACCTTGAAGTTACATTTGATGAAGAAATTACATTTGACAAACATATCAGTGAAAAGGTGCAAAAAGAAACATCGATATTTGGCATGATAAGAAGAACATTCAAGTTTCTTGATTCTAAATTATTCATCCCACTTTACAAATCACTAGTAAGAACCCACCTGGAAAACGCAAGCTCTGTATGGAAACCCTACAAGATAAAACATATAGAACAACTTGAAGGTGTACAGAGGAAGACAACCAAACAACTACATAGATCCAGAATGGCTGAAGATGCTGAAACTGTCAACACTTAGCTACAGGTGTATATGTATGTAAACGAGGTGATATGATAGAGTTGTACAAGACAGTGACAGGAAAATACGATGAGGGAGCAACACAGTTCATAAGATGTGGTCCGGCTCCTCAGAAAGATCGAGCACAAGGACAAACTCCATGAAAATATTCCCTAGGTATCTATGCAAGGACATCACTGGGAACAATGCCTTCTCCATAGGAACAACAGCAGTATGGAACAATTTGCCTGATCACATTGTAACTGCAAACACACTTAATAGCTTCAAAAACATCAGACTTGAGGATTACTGGAACGGACAGGAAGTAAAATACAACAACTACAACCAGAAGTGAAATCTTCAATTTTAAAATTTTAACAATATCACTTATGAGTCCAGCGAAGAGGGTCCTTAGAATGGAACCTGTGCTGGTCAATAACAATATCACTTAGTATCGTTAAGTAAGTCTTATATTTATCTAGTTGTACTATAGGTGATATTTAAACCATTGCTACATGTATGTACATATATATCGGAAAGGATACAGCCCTCCTCCGTGTAGGGGAGAGAACTGCTGGACGAATTGGTCTGATAGCTGAAGAATGACACCTCCAAGGTGTAGCAGTGCGAGTTGTCATCTAAACAGCCCCCAAGGGTCCTGTGGAGATAAAACAATACATATAGTGTATGTTGTAACATCCCTCTAGGGTCGTGGGGAAGGAAAACAAATATGTGTAGTGTTATGTTGAAGAAATGTGGACATGTTACTGTACAGGGATTAAAAGGGCTGGTGTAAATTCCATAAATCACTAGTTCCAATCGAAAAAAAAACACATCTTCTCAATCACGAATAAAACCTACCGTCTTAGTTTACAACATAAAGCATTCAGAAAATAAACTAATATCTAGTTGGATCAAAATGGATTACCGAACAAATCTACAAACCTTAGTTCATGTACCATGTCAAAAATCATGAACAAATATCATCTGGGTCTCTTCTACTCTACATATTGGTTAAAGTAACAGTAACAATGATCAGACAGAAAGGGAACATTTAGGGATTGAACGGCGGTTTTTAAATTTTCATGTCGGTATGAACGCAAATCGTTTACATCCTTATTGCATCTAGATAAAATATTTAGATAAAATTGGGGCCAACAATAAACCGTAATCATTTGAACGTTTGACGCAGGGCCATTCTCTAAGTTATCCGAAGCGAAGTGACAAGACTCTCATTGAACAAGGTTAATCCATGACGTCATGAATATATCCATATGTAGGTTTTACATACACATACCATTCTGAGGCGGAGAGCTTTCAAAATGCCACTCTAGCTACCCTAATGATATGAAACCCCCACTGTTAATTATTTAATTTTCATGTGTACTGTGACTTGTAAACAATATTTGTTGCCTTTATTTGCAAATACTTATATGATGCTGTTTCAATATTGATTGTAGCTATCTATGGAAATAATGTGTGAATGTCAGTCTCCTCTCAAATTAACATGAAAATGAATCTCTCATGGAAATAAAATGATTAACACAGACATGTTTGTTTGGAAACACCATTAGGAAGATATAAGTGATATAGATGATTTCATTAACAGCCTGAAGCCAGCCTACATTCTGGCCAGTGTTATTTAATTAGTCATCAAATACCACATTATGTCCCCGCTGATCAGCACACACCAGCTATCTGGTTTCCTTATATGGCGAGTCTGACTGTGTGTATACCCCGGGGAATCTGATAACTGTGGTTACATAACAAATTAAACTGTTTTCTATTACAACACAACAGCTGATCAGTAGAGACAAACCTGCTGCGGACCATGGACATGGTCGTAAGGAAACTGTTATTGCATGTGAAGGAGTCAGAGACAATATCGTGCCCTGGACAAATCACACTTCATCAACAAAAGTGTGTGACCTGATTTATCCCAAACAACATGCAATCAACGTACTTCTCCCTTCATGAGCAACACCTTCTTTGTGTTACAATTTGTCATTGGATGAGTAACAAGTTTTAATACAGTCTATAGTGGTTATTAGAGGTCTAAGGAGTGAAAGTATCTCCTCCTAATGTATCTAATTAATGATGTACATTATATAGCCATCGTGTGATAATCTTAACAATGTGTCATTCAGTGTCCGAATCATAGAGATCAATACAAACGTACAGGATTCCATCTTGTATTCGTCATGTTTCATGTTTCAATAATCTCGTATTCAGAGTTCAATGTGACAATGAAGATTTAGTGTATTTTTAAATTTTGTATTTAAAGTGACAATAGCTCATGTATTCAGAAAGTTTACTATGACAGTCAATGCTGTATTCAGTGTTGTTTTAATGTGACATTGAACGTTGTATTCAGAGAGTTCAATGTGATAGCAATGCTGTATTCAGTGTTGTTTTAATGTGACACTGAACGTTGTATTCAGAGAGTTCAATGTAATAGCAATGCTGTATTCAGTGTTGTTTTAATGTGACACTGAACGTTGTATTCAGAGAGTTCAATGTGATAGCAATGCTGTATTCAGTGTTGTTTTAATGTGACACTGAACGTTGTATTCAGAGAGTTCAATGTAATAGCAATGCTGTATTCAGTGTTGTTTTAATGTGACACTGAACGTTGTATTCAGAGAGTTCAATGTGATAGCAATGCTGTATTCAGTGTTGTTTTAATGTGACATTGAACGTTGTATTCAGAGAGTTCAATGTGATAGCAATGCTGTATTCAGTGTTGTTTTAATGTGACACTGAACGTTGTATTCAGAGAGTTCAATGTGATAGCAATGCTGTATTCAATGTTGTTTTAATGTGACACTGAACGTTGTATTCAGAGAGTTCAATGTAATAGCAACGCTGTATTCAATGTTGTTTTAATGTGACATTGAACGTTGTATTCAGAGAGTTCAATGTGATAGCAATGCTGTATTCAATGTTCAAAGGGACATTTGGTTTTTACATTCATGATCAAAGAGTTAAATGTCAATCCTGAATTAAGACATTTTAATGTGATGCTCAATCTTGAATTCTGTATTCAATGTATGGCCTTTTTTTGGTTTTTAATGTTTAAGGTAAACTTCTGTTTCAAAATAACTCAATATATCAGTAAACTCATCTTGTTTTTATTTTAAAGTCAATCTTGTATTCAGAGAGTTCGATGTGGGATTTATATACGATAAAAACTTATTTAATGGTCAGCTTCTGTTGTGGAAAATTTTGATGGTACGTGTAAAAAAAGACTGGCGGTATAACAAGGGAGTGCCAGTACAGCAGCTACAGAACACAACAATACATGTATCCCTTAATGGCGGTATAACAAGGGAGTGCCAGTACAGCAGCTACACAAGACAGCAATACATGTATCCCTTAATGGCAGTATAACAAGGGAGTGCCAGTACACCAGCTACACAAGACAACAATACAGGTATCCCTTAATGGCGGTAAAACAAGGGAGTGCCAGTACACCAGCTACACAAGACAACAATACAGATATCCCTTAATGGCGGTAAAACAAGGGAGTGCCAGTACACCAGCTACACAAGACAGCAATACATGTATCCCTTAATGGCGGTATAACAAGGGAGTGCCAGTACACCAGCTACAGAACACAGCAATACATGTATCCCTTAATGGCAGTATAACAAGGGAGTGCCAGTACAGCAGCTACACAAGACAGCAATACATGTATCCCTTAATGGCGGTATAACAAGGGAGTGCCAGTACAGCAGCTACACAAGACAACAATACATGTATCCCTTAATGGCGGTATAACAAGGGAGTGCAAGTACACCAGCTACAGAACACAACAATACATGTATCCCTTAATCGCCATGAAACAATTGTATATCTGCATTTAGAATGTGTACGTCACATTCAGTCCGTCACTTCAAAGTTACATTAAACTTTTGGTACACAAAGTGTTTAATGTGTAATTCAACTCCTTTTTACATTGACATTCAAATGTATATTCAACATGTTTTTGTCTTAATTAAAAGTGGCATTCAACTTTGTAAACATTGTCACATAAATTCTCTCTATCTCAAAATCATGCCACCAGTTTTCTCTATCTCCAGGTTCTTCTCCTTCTCAACATCATGGCATTGTTTTTCTCTTTCTTCAGAGATTCCAGCTATCTCAAGGAAGATACCATGGCAACAGTTTTCTCTATCTAAGAGATTCTCTCCATCTCCATAATGCAGCAACTGTCTTGTATCTACGAGCACTGAAGACCTCTAAATACAACTGTTCGATCAATACCAACATGAATCGGTGAGAATGTTATCTACCAAACAAGGCTCTTTCCCAATTCCCACTCAACCAATTCCATTAGACAATCTTCCTTCCTTACATTTTATTTACAATCCATTCTAAAGTGTAATCATTTTCTTCAGTTTCAATTCATTAAGGATGTTGTAAATCATATTTCAAAATAGAAAAGCAATTTATTTTTACAGTTTTATCTAGGCTGTTTCCCACTAAGTGCCATCTCTGGTGGTGTTCTATGGGACTAATGTTTGCCTGGAGGGTCTGTATGTTGTAGCTCTTCTACAACAGATACGGTGTCTCAATTTGGAGATCATTTATATTACTCTGCGCTCCACAATGCATTATTTCAAGTACAACAATGTACTGTCTTTTTGTGGCTGGGTTATTATTGTGGTAAGATGCATCGTCAAATTAACAGTAAACTTTTGTATTCGTATAGTAAAACTGCATTTTCTACACTGCATAGTTGTATTTTTCAATATAAATACAAAATCAACAGTGCTTAAAAAAACCTGTATGCAATACTGTGTATGATCCTGAATTGATATTTTGATGAAAAACTAAACTTACCTATTATTAGTCAAAAACAATAACGCCTGCTCATGTGACCAACTCCATTAAAAGACCACCTGTGTTAAGAGACCACTTGAAATGTTCCTTATTGTAACAATTTCATTGTGAACATGAACCTTTACTAAGAGACCACCTGTGTTAAGAGACCTCTTCAAATGTTCCTTATTGTAACAATTTCATTTTGAACTGAACCTTTACTAAGAGACCACCTGTGTTAAGAGACCACCTGTGTTAAGAGACCACTTTAAATGTTCCTGCTTGTAATGATTTAATTGTGAACTTAACCTTTACTTAAAGACTACCTTTGTTAGGAGACCAATTCTTGTTTTGGACTTCCCAATGGTGACCTCTTAATATAGGCCAGACTGTATATATAGAAACACAGTACAACATCAATATACATGTACTTGATGTATAGGTGTTACACACCAATGTTAATTAAGATAACATACACTCTTTCTGTTGCTGTTGTTTTGTGGTATCCTGACAAATACTTGCTAAAACATGCTTGTATTTTGACCAAACCTTTATTTACAACAAAAGCTTAACCTCATGTCTAGCTGCCTAATGAGCATGACCCTTGACTAATGTAAGTGACATTTTGGTTGTTGAAGTGGGAAACCTTAATTCTACTCATTTCCTTCATGTTTCACTGGGTTTTTCATGTCGTAAAAGTTTACTCTAGGGAAATTTTGCAGAAGACAAAACTTTCTTTTCAGGAATGATCCAGGCTCCTGGAGGAAACATCCAGGGATTTCGAGTTTGGTATTTAGGACGAAGGGGATGGCCCTGTGTCTGGGAGAGATGATG